CGAAAATGCTTTCGTAGTTTTGCTCTGTAGCAGTTAAAGATTTTCTTCTACCTTTCGACCACTGTGAGGTGTATTATCGTAAAGCAGTTAAATCAGTGAATGCGTCGATAAAGTGAGAAATCACATACATTTTTCGTTTTTACGAAAAAAGAAAAAAAGGAAAAGAAATGTTTCAGATTATCCTGATATTACATTTAAGCCGGGTAACTTAACAGATACAACTGTATAGGTATTTTATTTTGGAACGGATACGGTGTTGCATTGTAATAATTCTAATAAGTTTTAAAAACTATTTAAAAAAGCAGTCTAAGTGATAACTCTTTGTTTGGGTTTTTAAAATATCAGTCAGACTTCTATTTAACGAAGTCGCTAAATCCCGATAATAAGTTCGTTATATGGAAAATTCGTTAAATAGAAAATCATCTTTTGAAATACTTAAACAACACAAAACAGATTTTGAATTCATAAACACTAGACATAATTAAAATAGCAATTGATGCACTTTTATCGTGTAAACGAGTATCTACTATTTATTTTATAAATCTTAACCATAAGAAAATCTGCATGGAAAACAAGAGCGAAACATTATCCAGTGTTACACTATCATGCTACATGCATTTTCAACGAAAAAAGGCTAAATTTATGAATAAAATTATAGCTGCATTTATTATAAAAGCAATTTTAAACATACATTAGCACATGCTTTATTAAGTTTAATTGCTACTGATAAAATCCGTCAATTTTGTCTCAGTTTTTCGTTTGAAATGCAAACAAAAAGTGAAAGGGATTTTACTGTTTTCTCTAAAAGTGGCTTCGAAAATCAATTCAAGGTAATTTCCCCCATAAAATGTGCTAACAAGTTAGAACTTGGGAAATAGGGAAAGTAGGTCTCAAAGAAAAGTTCGTTAAATGGAAAATTCACTTCGTTATTTGGAAGTTATTTTTCGAAGAAATTTCGAAAATGTTCTTGGTTCCTCGAAAAAAAATCGCAAAATAGAGAAATTCGCAAAATGGAAGTTTGTTAAATAGAAATCCGACTGTATATATATAATCTATACTAAAATAATTTTGAAAACTTTAATCAACAAAATATATATTGCTAAGCAACACAATACACATTTTATACAGCTATAAACTATGAAAAACAACATTTATGCGCATAATAAGGTAAGAGATAACTTCTATTGGTACAAAGGAAAATATATTTAGGATTATAAAACTCTTTAAACAGCTAGAGAAGGTTCGCTTCCTATTTCATCGTCATTAAAATTGCTAATGTGTTAAAATCTGATTTATGCTTTGCAGCGCTGGATAAACAAATATTTGAATAGAAAATACGATGGAAAAGTGAAGTTTTGAACTAAAACAAGTCGTAAATAAGCTCCATAAAATAATTTTCAATGTTTAAAATGCTGTTGAAATCAGAAGAAGTAAAGATTCTTTGATTCAATTATTTTGTTTTTAGGTACAAAAATTATTCTTTATTAAATATATTGAAAACATTTAATTGATCATAGTTAAATATTAAGGTGAAATGCAAAATAATAATTAGTTTACGTAGATAATCTTATTAAATAGTTCTACATTTAGTCATTTTACATTGATCTGTGATTAACGTTTTCAGAAATAAAATGTAGAAAAATAAGTGGGATAAAGAAAGCAAAGCTCGATCTGGACATTAAGTAAAAAGTTAAGTTTAGGCAATTATTATTATGAATTTTTGAACGAAAGATCACTATAAAAAATACAGCTGAGCAATTATCAAAATAATCTAATATCAAAAAACAGAAAAAGGAGCAATTTTTAACTTTCAAATAACAGAAAGGATTAAGCAAAGGTTTTAAAATGTAATACTTTTAATCATTTTTAAGGCACCTAATTAGGCATTTAAGCTTATTTTTAGGACTACAAATTGACAATAAGTTTTCGTAAAAGTTTTCTCCGAAAAAAGTGAATATATATATATATATATATATATATGAATAAAGATGAATGAGTTCAAAATGAAGATGAAACAAAGGANATGGTTTATTCATAGAAGATTCCCGGGGAATTAAAAATATGTCCGTATTGAGAGGCGTCCGTTTTGCAGGAGTGTCCATAACAGGAGGTTTCACTATATATATATATATATATATATGCTATTTCTGCTTTAGAATATTTACGTAGTACTTATCCAACACAGTAGAAAGGCTAATGATCCACCGTTTTCGCTATCCTATGACCCAAAAATTGAGAACAATTTTCAAAACTGATTAGATAAAAACGGAAAAAAATTTGAAAAAACGTTAGCTGTGTTCTGTTTAGTAAGCGAGAATTTTTTCACCACAATTTTAAAAAAGATAAAGTGCGGTCCTCTTGGAACACCTTGCATATAAGTAAATGTTTTTGATTGGAATAATGATTTGTTTTGCGAAATGGCATAAAAAATAAAAATTTTAAAAGGAGCGATTTCGTTTCACACTAAAAATGAATTTTTCACACTTTTTTTATTTACAAATTCATTTATAAACTGTGTTTGTATGCGTCATTTAAAGCAATCAAAACTTTCGAGGATCATTTAACAATCATTTTAAATAATCGCATTATGGTTACTGCTTTTGAAAGTCAAAACTCTTAACGATGCTTTGCCTTTAAAATATCTCCCTCGATACTTAAAGATATCCCTTTCTATTTAATTTTCTTTCTGCGTCTGTTGAGGCTTTTAGTTTCATTTAAATAATCAAAAATTTGATCCTATCAGCAATGAAAACGTTAGAGTTAAATAAATTTATTATATTTACCGACAACAGAATTAAATCATTTTATTTCAATTTCTATTTCAAATAATGGCTTTATTTTTTTTTCTGTATTTTATTTATGAAATAAGGATTTAAAGTGAAAAACAATTGTTTTTAGAAATGAAGATGCAATAAATAATTGAGTATACCCTTTAACTAAAATTAGTGTACAGTACAAATATATGTTTAAAAAAAGTGGAACACCTTAATAACTTTTGATCTTAGTGATTGGATGATTTTCATGTTCTAAGATGTTATCTTAATAGTTCGAGATGCTATCCTTAAATATGCAAATTAGTGTGTGGAGGCGATATTTTAAATTACGAAATAAGAAGGACAAGCACACGTTCTCTGAATAAAAAGATTTTTTAAGGATTTATTGAAAATTCAATAAATTAAATTTTAAATTTTTATTTCCAAAGAACAAAAATTTAAAAATTAAATTCTCATTTTTAAAAGAACGGAAATTTAAGAATTAAATTTTCATTTCTGAAAAAGAGAAGTTCAAAAATTAAATTTTCATTTCTAAAGAATAATTTATCCGATTTCGCTAAAATTTTAGATTTTGTCATTTAAATTTACTTTTTCAAAAATGATGTGAAAATTTGTATATCTTGTTCAGTTTTTTTTAGCCATTATTAAAACAAAGAAAAAAATAACTGTAAAAACTATTTTCATGAAGAAATATTTTTGAATAAACGAGGTTTATAAATTGCTTGACTATCGGAAGCAGTTTCAGAGACATGGTGCACAATTCATTGAGGGACCGCTCTCCTGATTAAACTAGTGGGGTCATATTTTTTGAGATTGCAACTAACTTCTATAATTCGACAATCAAAAATCCAAATCCGTGAGGCATTTTAAGGATATTTAACTGACATAGAGAATTTACACAAGTTTACACTTTTGCATAAATTAAATTAAAATGCAATTCTTAAACGGAGAGACATTTCACTCAAACATGCTCAAAACATTTTCAAATTATCCTGATTATACTTATTGATAACCGAAAACTAAAAATTAACCCAATTTTGAGACAAGTGTTTCAGCTTTATGCGTAATGTAATGCGAGTTTAAGGGATAAAAATGATTTTACGAAAATGGAGATGTTTTAATTTTACATAATTTATCAGTGTAGCTTTCGAAAAGCTTGATCTAAAAGTATAAGTTTAAATTCTGACAAATGAGAAATACAGTGATGGCTATTGTAATAGACTTTATGTTTTGACAGGTTTATGGGTAAATAAAATATTTATTCAAAACATATTTTTTTATAATCGAAGTCACATTCCTAGAAATCGCCATAATATTTCACTACACATATACAAATCATGTGCTACAATGAACAGGCGTCCCCTAGCTAAGGGCTTACCAGACAAAATAAGTCGGACAATCCTGTGATGTTATTAAACTTTTTCAGGGTTCAAAAAATCATGGAGCTGATTCAGGATTGCTGATCTTGAGGATGTGCAACAACAACAACAAATAATACAATTTCCATTATATTATTTTACTTCATTCATGATTTTATTTAATTAAATGATGCAATCAGAATTTTGAAAAATGCCATTAATATTAATATTACTTTATAATAAGAATAGTAGAAAAATCTCTCATTTGATAGTTATAAAACTGGAAGACGCCGTGAAAAAACATGAAGTTGAAAATGCTGCAGTACAAATCGTTAAGGCCCTAGTTCGAATCTACGTCATGTGCCGGATAATTCAGAGATTTGGCATATTCCCGTACCAGCTTCTGTTTGTTTGTAAGTTCTATGTATGTATTCTGTACTGCGTGAAGAAGCTGCGCATACCCACGACACAGATTTCTCACATTTTTCTAGATTAACTTTAGAAAATATGAACGTGAACGTTGCTATGTGAAAGTAAATCTCTCGATGCTCGATCTTACGCAGCTTAAGAATGTTTATAAAAAGGAATGAAACCATTTTCATTAATAACGAAAATATTTTAGATGTAGAAGCATATTTAAAATAAAATATTTATTAATTTGCATGTGATGGGTGTGGAACTTTTCTAAGTACCATTTTCTTTTGCAATGTCCATAATTGCGATTGGAAATCTGTTTCGTCATTGTTGATGTATGGCATCGAATCAGATGGGTGCTACTATATTTACTTTTAATAATGGTTGGCTTCCTTTTAGTTGTCTCCTATATAATTTAGTTTTGATTATTGAGTTTTGTTTTTTTTCCTGACAGATGGCTCTTCTTAGAATTCTTCTGTGTTTATTTGCGATCACCATATCTTTAAATGAATCGGCACATGTTCTCCAGAAGAGGAGCTTCGTGCAACTGGGCTGCATGGGAATGTTTGATCGTTCGAAATTTGCCCGCTTGGATGCCATCTGTGAAGAGTGTTACGAACTATTCAGGGATCCCGATATTCACAGCATGTGCAGGTAAGTGAACTATTACTTACTGAGCGTTAACTTAAAATTTCCCCCCTCATTGCATAGTTCTGTGTTTTTAAATCGATGCGTGGCTTGTTCTTCCTCTCCTGTTCAAGAATAGAAACATGTTTTTTGCAAATTTGATTTCTTTTATTTCGGAGGGAATGAAAAATAAATAAATGAGAAAATTAATTAATATAATAAAAATAAATGAAAACTAATAAAATAAAACTAAATAAAAATAAAAATTAATGAAATAAATATAAAATAAAATAGAAATAAAAAAAAATAAGAAAATCAATGAAATAAACAAAGCAAAATTTTATAAAATAAATAATAAAATAAATCTAAACTTTATGTTAAAAATCCGTCTTAGTCTTGTTAGGTATAAAATTGTTTTGGAAGTAGACTAGCTGATCTAATTATTGCGTCATAGAATAAGTGCAAGTATATTAGTAGTAAAAATAAGAACAACAAAATATATTTAATTACCAAATAGTAAAACAGCAACTTCTTCAGAAATACCACTTCTAATAAGATGATCTTTTTATTCTTCTTCATTTAAAAAATTCTTAGACATAATCGCAAGTAAAAATTAAATATCCTACAGAACGTTAAGTCGAAGCGAGAGCGACGTCTGTCTCTGTTACGAGACTCACTCAAAAAGTTTAATATTCTGTCGTTTTCTACGTAATTAAAATAAAAATTCCGGGCACTCCATTTCTCAAAAAAAAAAAAAAACATAACACCTTTATTTACACAAGTTATTCCATCATATCGTCATAGCAACCTGAAATCCACATCGTTTTCTTTTTAAAATATCGCAATACAAATTTTAGCTTATAGCTCACATACAATTAAATAATAAATAATTGTTTTCCACTTTTAACAGTCTCTACGAACTGGTATGTTGTCATTCACCAAAGAATGTTTGAGCAAAATTAACTCACAAATATCGCTTAAATATCTGAAACTCAAGTTCGATTTAATGCAAAGCAAATGTTTGACTGAAACAGATGTGTATTCAACTCAAATTGAATTCAAAAAATTTTTTATCTTCAGCTCTACATATTTATAGAAAACTACAAATCATACATTTTTAATTGTAATCGATGTTGTAAAACATTTAGATTATCCAAATATAAATACTTATAGTTTGATATTTTTAACGGCAAATATCAAGTGTTCGATTGATAATAGAATAATGCCCTTAAACTTTAAATATTTCGGTTCTTTTAAGTTAAACAGTTTTCAGGCAGGGTGTTTTTAGTGTATTTCTTGACATTTAATACTAATACATTTAATACTAATACATACAATAATATGAAAGACTATATATTGGCTATTAATGGGTTAAGCCGAGAAATATTAACTCTAAAAATGGTATTAATATAAATGATTGTTTTGACATTAGAGGTCACAAATGTAGATTTAAGTGAGGAAGAAACAAAAACACTATTAAAATCTAACGAGCCATTAGTCAGGAAAGAAATTATTAAAAACACTTATTGCTTGGTGAAATTTGGAGATGTTTCTTTCTAAGAGTCACCCTTCAAGTATCTCTCTGATACCTCTTGCCATCAAATATTTTTGATTGCTTTTAGTATCACTTTCTTCAATAGTGATGCAATATCGTTTTTGTTTTTTCTTAGCTTAACCCCTTAACTTGTGTACTCGAGTTAATTCGAGAGTGCTAAACAGGCCAAACTGTGCACACTCTAAATAATTCAAGCGACGTTGTATTTTATTCTGCTATAATTTTTCTCACTTGAATATAATCGAGAATTGAAAATAACAATGTGAAAGCTCAGAAAAAAATCGTTTTATTGATATTTATCATTTACATAGGATTGTAAGCTATAATACTTATTTATTCAGGAATAAAATATAGCCTTTTTCCATGGAACAAAAGCGCAGTGTATCAAAACTGTCCACCAAAAAGAAAAGTTGAACCAAGAGCGGAATCAATTTTTTTACATTAAAAAAATAATTGATTTTTTTTGGTCGGTTTTTTTCAAAAAATCTGTGCGTTAAGGGGTTAAATATCAATTTGTGTCACTTTATGCATCTACTTTTTTAGTTCATTTTTCACAAGTAGTCTAAAAATGTATATTAAGAATGCTTGCAGCGAAACACACAGCATATCATGCATGAGCTATGAATGACGACTAAGTTGAAATAATTAATTTGCATTTATATTTAAAAATGCGCTTTTCTTTGTTTTTTATTTAAACTCTTTGTTTTCTCAGATAAAAGCAGCATTTTAAAATGTTTTCCTAGGAATAATTTCAAAAACACATGAATAAATTTAAAAAAAATTTTAATCAATATTCTAGTTTTTTTTACTGAACACTGAGAATCATATGGGAGTCAGAAAATACTGAATTCTCTCCTTTTTAAGGACTCGAAATAATTCCCATAGTTAATAAACTTGAAACTCAATTACTGAACTATTTTGCCAAGCATCGAATTATTATCTTGACTTAAGACGCTAATAACACGTAATTGATTAAGTAATCATTTCTCCGAAAACTTTGCATTTCCCTTCTTTTAATCTCAGGTGTTTGCATTCTAAAAGACACCATGGTAATCCTTATAAGACATTTTAGAAATCTTTTTGAATAAAAAATAAGAAAAAGTATTTAAGACAAGCTAATTATAGTTAATTAGAATGTGAAGGATTCTATGAAAAAAATTCTGCTGAAAATTTTCAGATTCAGTCAATAAAATATAGTTTTAAGCATTTAAGTAACAATGTTTTTTCGTTAAGTGTATAAGTTACAACATATTAAGTATTTGTTTTAAGTATTCGTACAAATATTAACCTCTGAGCAACTGTAACGTACTATAACGTTCATAACATATTAAGTATTATTATGAAATATAGTATTCGTAACATAAGTAAACCAAGTGAAAATATAATAATTTGATAAAATTAAAAAATACCTTAATATCATGATGTTTTTATAAAACGTTAGGTTTTAAGTTGCCTATATACTTCAGGGGATACTTGTGTTAATAATGAATAATTATTGATGTAATTAATTATAAATATAATTATGATAATATAATTATGATAATATAATTATAATTATGATTACTTGATTTGAAATTCTATGTGTCTCTGAATCCTCAGAATTTAATCATTTAATTGGAATACAGCAATCCTTACCGTTGGAAAGGATTGCTGTATTTTCTACACTTCGGAATTAAAACTCTCACTTTTGGAGATTCAGCTAAACTGAATTCCGTTATTTTTTACTCTTACTTCGTCTCAAAATCCTGTGATTCTTGTAAAAGCACGAACTCTCAAAAATTTGACAAAATCACTTTTTTATTACATCTATGAAATATATTACTGCAAAATGTACGCGCATTGTAGTCTCTACAATAACATTTTACTTTTACAACAAAGTATACGTGAAATTTAATTTAGATTAACGTTAATTGAAGAACATGGTAGCTTTGTTTCATCTACCACAGCTTCGCGATCTGTTCTCTAACATTTTTCTTATCTATTTTCGAGATCTTTTGCGGCGTATGCCGAGATGGTATAGGCAGGCGATAATACGCGTGTTTGTTAATTAAGTTTCGAATCTCCGAGCTCGAATCTCTGCTATTGCTTAGCCCTCGTTTGTTTATATGCTTTTCATTTTATGTCACATATTAAAATTAATTGTGATAACCAAAGTGGTGCATTAAGTCTTCTTCTTTTGACGAAATTTGTATCAGCTACTAAGCATCACTTAATTGTTTATGTTTGGTGAAATATTCAATCGGAGATAATGCAGGAGGAGGTTTTAGGAAAAAAGGAGAAAAATCTGTGACATTTGCATAGCCATTTTTTACAAGGAAGAGAAAGCCTGAATTTGACGAAATTTGCATCCAAACATTGTTTTCAAACACACCTATCCAAACACACCCAGACAAACCGTACAAACCAGACAAACCGTATCCAAACACACCCAGAGGTAATTCAGGAAACGGCTTCGGCAAAAATGAAAACAAAAAAATATTTAATTTTGTGTATCCATTTTTTACTTACTAGATAAGCCTTGATAAATAATGGTACTTCAATTATGCAGTCTTTAGCTAAGAACATTTTAACATTTTTTTTTTATTTTATCTTTGTGCATGGTTAAGACGCTTGTTACATTTAAATTAAAATTTTTTCTCCAATGGTTTATTTATGTTATTCGTATATACTTTTGCAAGAATTTGACGAAATTCGTATCCCCTAATTGTTTTTCAATTTGCCAAAATATTCACGTAGAGGTAATGTGGGAGACGTTTTCTGCAAAAACAAACAAAACAAAGAACGTGAAATATGAGTATCTATTTTTTACCAAGGTAAGGAAACCTTGCAAAATTATCGCACCTCATTCATGCAGTCTCTAGCCAAAAACTACTGTAAAATGTATTTCTCTGTGCTTGGTTAAGACGCTTGCCACCTTTAAATTAAGATTTCTTCGCCAATCGTTTATTTATGTTATTTATACATTCTTTCCTTTTCAGGGCAAACTGCTTTAAGAATTCCTACTTCTCTAAATGCATTGATGCCCTTCTACTATCAGGTGAACAGGAAGAATTGGACAACTCAGTACGACAGCTGTACGGGAAACGAAAATGAACAAAAACAGTCACAGAGAACTGAGAAGTGTTGTACAATGGAGAGCTTAAACTCGATTTAATTTATTCTATTTTGTTTCATTATTGTTTCTGTACTTTTTGTTGAACATAATTTATAAATTCAAAAAGACAGCTACCAACCGCGTAAGTACATCGTCGCCAATATATTGTTCGTACGAAGTCAATGACGTCAGCACTACTCACGCGTGTTGCCAAATACGTTTTTATCTGTGTTATTTATTGAATCTCAAGACATATTCGACCTTACATCGTTATTGATGTACGATTTGTAATATATTTTTATTTACATTTGTGATTTTATTGTGAAATATAATAATTTATTACGGCATGGCTCTCTTTATTTCTGTGGTTAAAACACTCGACAAACATAATTATACTAAGAAAATTGAAATTAAAATAATAAACAAATAAATAAAATCGTCAAATGCCAATAAATTATTAAAAAACTTTTTATAAATTTCATTATTTACTATTGAAATAATTTACTTCAATCTCCTTAAGAAACTATTCTATGAAAATTTTTTAGGTCATAATTCAATTTGTTACTTGTAATTCGGAATTGAACGAAACATTAGTTCCTTAATTACGTGGTTTCTAAATGTTTCCCAGCTTCCTCCTAAAGAAAAAAAATGTTGTTATAAAAACATTTTCTTTTTACAACAATATTTTCTTCGAAATTAAGAGTTTGAAAAAGCTGCTTTGTTGCTTGACTGATTTTATTAAAACTGTAGCACAACTTCTTTATTAGTACTCCCAGATTTTATAATTTCATTGTGGTTTCTTTTCTTCTCTTTTTTAGATCAGTTATGCGAATAAAATGAAATCATTAATTTTTATTTAAGAACCGAAAGAAGTAATAATTCTCCACTATTAAGTAGATAATTATCACTTCCAGATTAAATCACACATTTTATGAATAAAAACGCAACGTTAATTAAATGATCGATATGAATCACTCAACTTTTTTCATTTACTTCAAGGGACAGGAAGAGATATTCTATTTCTTCTATGTTTACCTACATGTTAACTATACACTAACGCAGTTTCCTTTAAGTATCGAATTTCTGCTTCATTTTATTCACTGCAATTCCTTTTATTTAACTTAGTAAATGAATTTTTAATTTTAAATTTAGCTTAACTTGAACTTTGAAAAACTTGAACCTGCATGGAGAAAAAAATTCGGGTAAAATTGCCATAATGTATGGTAATTGCATTCCTGGTAAAAAAAAAAACAACAACAACATAATTCTAGTTAATAAAGTCAAAATATACGATATTTAAACAATTTATTGATAATTTTTCTGTTTATATGATAGTGGTTTACCGAAAATTCTGGTTTTCAAAATTGTAGTTCTTAAACATTTAGTAAAAAATACATGAAAGAAACGTAAATTTAACCGTATACATGGGTTTTACGTTCTAAGGTATTCCACGTTCTAAGGTATTATGATAAAATTATTGAATTTTACCACAATTACCAAATTTTATCACATATTATTGTTTTACTAAAATCAATACCAAAGTGCTTCGGTAAAAATTACCGAGCTTTTTGATGCTGCCACAGATCCAAAACACTATAAATTTTACCATATTCTGGTAGTTTTGACCATATTTTTTGTTTCAGTGTAACTTTAAAATTAATACTGAGTATTATAGAATAAAATTAAGCAAAAAAGCTCTAAAAACATTAATTACCTTCTTCATAATCAAACAGCGTTCATATAATTGAGCATATGTTAATACGCAGGCACTAAAATTCCACTCTGTTTTCAGGGGTATTCTTAAGGCTCTTGAAAATGTTTGGGGCATTTTAGTTGATTTAGTTTATTCTCAGTTTTAAAGCACCATCAAAATAATTTGAGATACTTTGATTTTAAAATACTTTGATAATTGAAAAGAAACTCTTAATATACTATTTCGAATTTTTTGAATTTAGAATTTAAATGAAATCTTTCTTCTTTTTTTATTCATTGCTTAAAATTTTTTGATAATGAAAACAGTTACCTAGAGTGAGACATAGTATTTCATTATTTCCCCTTGGACGCCCTTTTTTATGCTTTTTTTATAAATTAATATTTTGTAAGAAAAAAAGATCTAGATCAAAAAAGCATAATTTAATGCAGTATAATAGTGGGATAATATCAATTAAAGTGTTTTTGAGTAAGCGTGCGTAAAAAAAATAGTGTTGGTGGTGCACTGCGTGTATGATTTTTTTTCCTATTATATAAATTATGAAAAACCATCTAGCTTATTTTGTGAAATCTATAGCACAGTATTTTACGAAGTTTGCAACTTAGGAAACGCATTTTTCGAGAAAAATGAACTAAATTAATTGTTATACTAAACTTTTTCTCAACTTCGATTTAAACAAGCGTTTTTCTTTTCCAGTTTTTGTTTTCTTAATATTAAGTGGAATTAATTAGTATGCTTCGTGCCACATTTTGCAATGATTTTTTTCCAAGTTCATTTTACAGACGCATTTTTTTCTTAATTTCTGCATCTTTTTTTCATTTCTGCAGTGCTTCTAGTTTTCTTTCAGACCAGAAATTAACTTCCAATGATCTTACTGAAATAGGATCACGAGTTCCTGAAAAAAATTCATTTGTAACATTTATAGATCTGACTGTTAAAAATTAATTTAATTAAGTATCATCATAAATTTTAGCAACTTCTAAATTAATTTTTATGAAATATTTGAAAACTGTGTTTATGGTTTCAGTTAAATAGCCAATAAACTGAAAATGCTTGAATAGTTTTTTTTCATCAATGCTGGTTTAATTTTAAAATTTTTATAATGCTCATCATAATTAAAATAGAAAAAAATTCAGTGTGGAATAATAAATTTATTATAATTTCAATTTCAAACTAACACGTGTTTTTTCACTGTGAATAATATCAATTAAAGTAAATCCGTTGAAATAAATTCAAATTAAAACACTTTACATTTGCACTTTGCCAATTTAATCATTCACAAAATAATCTTTAATGCAAAAGAAACTATATATTCTTAAGACAACTGGCTATTTACAGCAAAATTATAATTAACAGTTTAAAGAATCAAATATTTACTTAGTGTCAACGTACTTAAAAGAAAATATCACTTCTCATGTCATTTAAACTTAAACATATATTGTTGTAAACTTTAATATCAAAATTCAAAGATAAATAAAAAAATGTTACAAAAAATACGAAAAAAATTATTTATGCCCACGTACGTTAACTTTATTTTTAGTAAGATCTTAAAATTATGTTTCATTTTTATTTTTCAATTCAATTTTTGCTGAAGTTTCAATTATTTATGTCACACATTTTGTATAATTTTAAGAATTTATAAATGAAACTTAAAAATCAAATCTTTTTTGGAATAATGAAAAATTGTAACGCATTTTATCCGGGTGCTATTAAAAAATATTTCCGTTTATTAAATAACAGAAATTTCAAAATAAAGAATTACAATATGTTTAATATAATTGGGAAGATGTAAATTTTATTGGGCAAAAAAGCCTCAACTCAAAAAACTACATGATAGTATCTCTTTAAAATAAATAAATTCAAAAGACAGATGCATTCATTGTTTAAACTACTTTATATATAACTTCTGAGCAGCGAGTTGTTGCTGTCACTGCGTAGAACGTAGTTCTATGTCTGTGAGTGGCCTACTTAGCTTAAGATCTCAGCTAGAGATGGTTAAAATTTAATTTATCTTTGCAGTATCAGTCACAAACTGATACTATAATGAATGAATTCTAAAGCTAAACTGTATCAATGCTCAATTATCAACTCTCTTAATGGGTTTGAAAAATAACTGATTCTAATTTAATATGAAATCAGTCCGTAGATTCTTACGGAATGCATCCAAGTAGTTATTTAGTAATCGTTTCTTCCGAGCTGATACGAATGAAACTGTTCCTCAATTGAACTAATATTTGGACTAATTTCCCAAGGGGTAATTTTTGATTGACTACTGATACAAGTTTAAGAATTATGCTGTAATTTACAAGTTAAATCATAAAATTAATAAATTTTTTCTTCTTCAAATTTTAGAGGTTTTACTAAACTTTAGGTACTGGAATCAAATTGAAACAAAATATACTCGTTAATTTTGTTATGCATTAATTTAAGTATATTTGCACTTTTACGTATTAATCGCAAAATATCAGTAATGCATTGATACAAAAACAACACCAGTATCAGCTCGTATGAGAAGTATATTAAGGCGGCCAACATCATCATGGCACTGATCTTGAAGTTCAGAACCTATTACTAATACAACCCACTGTAACGTGTCCAGCTATATGAATAACAGTTCTGCTCCTTATAAAAAAAACTTTTATTCACAAACACAAACAGTAACTAATATGAAGTAACCGTAACGGGATAGTTAAAATATTATAAAACAAACTAGAAAAACACGTAACGGGTTATGAGAAAACTCAAATTCCAAAACAAAACTAATCTCTAAAAAAAACCAACAACTCTGTTGTTCTAAAAAGGTCTTCTAATTTTATCGTCTGCTTTTATTTTTTTATTTATCTCTTTAAGTGTTTAGTTTATTTTATTCATGCTTTTGCTAGCCAATTATTTATTTTAATATTTTAACTTTTATCCATGCTCTTGCTAGCCAATTATTTTTTTAATATTTTTAGATTTTATACCACTTGGCCGATAGTAGTCTATTGAGGGGGTTCTTTTTAAACAAACAAGCTAAAAATAAATTACATTATTCATTTTATTTTTTTACAGCTAATCTTTTAATAAAATATGTGTTAATTTAATAAATGCCGCAGGTTTTAATCTGTATGTAATGAATAGTAGAAAGTTGGCTATAACCCAATCTTATAACATTAAAATAATTGTAAAAAAGACATAAAAAACATCGAGACAATTAAAAAGATTTTCAATTTTATAATTTTATTTTCCAACCGAGTATTATTAGACACTAAGGCTACTTAACATGGACTTCATTTGTTTACTCTTAAAATCATTTCAATGATATTGAAAGAAAAATATGAGAGATTTTTTTTTAAATTTCTTTTTTGCCTATTTTCTTTCCGCGTTCATCTCTCCAGCATTTGTCAAGGTGGAAATTTGATTAGCGTCCTTAAAATTCGTTTGTGGATTGCATTGAAAAGCTCTCCCATGAATATGTAAATGAGGGGGCTTATTTCTTATCTCGGTTGGCAGCGGAATAAAATTAGATCATTTTCCGGAGCATGACACCACGAATAATGCCTCTCTTTTTGCATGCAAAATTTACTAAAGCAAAGAATGGCCTTCTATGTAAAAATTCATCCCATCTCTTAGTGATGAACACTTATTCAA